CCGCGCCCCCCCCGTCCCCAGCGCGGGGTTTGGTGAACAGCTTGATGAGGAGCTTTCCTCCTCCTCATCATCATCCTCCTCACCTTCCTCCTCATCCTTCTCCTCCTCCTCCTCCGCCAGCAGCTCCGGGAGGCTCCGGCGAGGTGGATGTCGATGGAGCCACGTGGAGGAAACCCGGGATGCCGGATCTGGCCCCCGGCACCTTGCCGACATCCAACGCACCCCATCTCCCCCCTCCCCAAACGCACCCCTTGCCGGGACCCGCGGGTGGGTGCTGCCCGCCGAACCTTGTGGGGCGATGTCCCCCAGCGCCCTTGGGGACAGCGGGGACCTGGCCGGCGCGGGGCGCGTGGGTGGCAACCCCCCGGCAGCTCACACGGGAGTTTATTTGCAGCAGCGGGTTTAAGCGGCGCGTTGGCAGCCGGCGAGATGTTTGTGTCGCCCGGCGATTAGATGCTATCGCCTTATCGGCGGCAGCAGCACCGGGGGCTGCGGGGAGGGGGGGTAACAACAAGAAATAAAAAAAAAAAAAAGAAGGAAAAGCCGATGCGATTTTTCTCTCTCCTCCTCTCAAAGGTCTGATTCAAAGCTAAACAGCTGCCGAAGATAATCTGCTGCGGGCTCCATCCCTCAGCGCCGCTCGCCTTGACCTCGGGGGCCTCCGGCTGGTGGCGACAGCCCGAGTCCTGCTCTCTCCTTGGGAGCCGGCCAGCTCGCTTTGTGCGCTCGGCCGAGAGCCGAGCGAGCCAGAAGGGCTGGGTGCGGAAGGGTAGTCCGTCAAAGCTGTGTTTACACACACAAGGGCAGCCGTGTTTTTATTATGCATAATTACACTGTCCTTAATGGAGTTGCAAACCATTTTTCCTGGTGGAGGGAGGGAGGGAGCGGCCGTGCGGGAAGGGGAACTGCAGCTCATCTGCGCATCAGGGCGAGCTCCGAGCTACTGAGCTCTGAGATACCAGACCGGTCCCGACCGCGCCGGTGCTTGCTTCAGCCCCGGGACAGCAAGCAGGGGTGTCTCCGCAGCAGCGTTTGGTGCCCACTGCCCGGACCCCGGGGCTTGACTCTGCACCCTTGGCTCCAGCGCATGCTGCTGGAACCTGAGCACCTCTTCTTCTCCCCATCCCCGGCACGCACTGGTGACCAGGGAGCACCCTGCCCACCCAAAGTGAGGGTGGCTTCCTTCTCCTCTTGTTCTTCCCAGGGACACGACCGTCCCCTGCTCGTGGACACCACATGACACCCCCAGATGTTTGCTCCTATCTTCCTGCAGCAGCGCTGCCGATGCTCCCCGTGCCCAGCAAGGATGCACGGGAGAGCCAGCCCTGGACAGCCAGCAGGGAAAACCCACGGTTTCTGGGTCTTACGGGTGGTTAGAGCGTGGGAGGCACTGCTTGTCCTTGGGGAGGCGATGCGCTAGCTGCACGCCAGGAGACGTGCAGATGTGTCCACAGGGGTGCGTGGTCCCACCTCGGGCACCCCGAGGAGCTGCCTGCAGGAGCCCTGCTTCGTGGCTGCACCCCAACGGCTGCTGAGCCCCAGGGCAGTCCAAGATGCGCGCGCCCAAGAGGTGCAAGGCTGAGATGAGCGTGGCTGAGACGTGCAAGCTCGAGACATGCATGCCTGAGAGGTGCATGGCTGAGATGTGCATGGCTGAGATGCGCACGGCTGAGATGTGCACGGCTGAGACGTGCAAGCTCAAAACATGCACGGCTGAGACGTGCAAGCTCAAGACATGCACGGCTGAGACGTGCACGGCTGAGACGTGCAAACTCAAGACATGCATGGCTGAGACATGCACGGCTGAGACGTGCACGGCTGAGACGTGCAAGCTCAAGACATGCACGGCTGAGACGTGCATGGCTGAGACATGCAAGCTCAAGACATGCATGGCTGAGACGTGCACAGCTGAGACGTGCACGGCTGAGACATACAAGCTCGAGATGTGCACGGCTGAGATGAGTGCGGCTGAGATGAGCGTGGCTGAGACGCGCAAGATGGAGCCATGCATGCAGCTCGAGTGCTGCATGCCCGAGCGGTACATGCCCGAGACATGCCTGCCCGAGCCGTGCACACCGGTGCCTGACACGTGTGCTCCAGGCGCACACACCAAGCAGCGTGTCCCCCAGCCGCGTGGCCTCCGGTGCCCCTGCGCAGCCCGGCTCCGCGGCGCCAGTCCCGGCGTGGAGGCACCGCACCGGCGCAGGCGTCCGCCACCCAGCCCTTGTTTTGTTCTCCCGAATCTCGAGTCCTTCTTTACCGTGCAAACGCGTTTGTGCAGGAAGGCAATGCGCAGCGGAGGTGGGGAGCTGGCAGAGTTAATAGGAGACATGAAAGGACACGTTCGCCGGGAGATTCCCTTATTCAGGGAACAAACCGCAGCAGAAATTGATTTTTTCCCCCTGTTTACTTGAGTTTCTCCCCCCTGGTGCAGAGAAGAAAGGCCTTGCATCGTGATTACCTGCTCCAGAGTGCGAGTGCAATTTGCTGGATGTGTTTATTATTAACAGGGACAGAAAACTCTTCCCAATCACTCAGTATTTTCTTTCTTTTTTTCCCCTTCACCCTCGTTCTTTCTTCCTTTTTCGGTTTTTAAAGCGAAGGGCCCTGGCAGCACGCTGCCAAGAGCCGATCAATTCACTCCTAATGGCAGCTCCCATGCCCTCGCATTCATCAACCGGGCTCTTAAAGAGCATCCGAGGCTTCATGGACGACTTAGGGGGAAAAAAAAAAGCCCATTTGGAGGCGAGATCATATTTTCTCCATCTCTTCCCCTTTTGTTCTTTATCTGCGGAGGACAAAGGCAGGCGCAGGCTCGAGGTGGGGAACAGGCAGCGGAGGCAGATGAAATCCGAAGAAACAAAAGAGCCTGTTTTCATGGAAATGCCCTGAAAAGGGGGGAGCAAATTTGGGGAGGGGGGACACACAGGACTGGGGAAAAAGCCGGAGAGGGGGGGTTGTGTTCAGCGGCAGCATCGTGGTGTGGCTGGAGCAGGGAGAAGGAGAATAAACGCGGCTGGAAGTTTTCCCGCAGGCATCAGGAGCTGTTTGAAGCTCTTGAATATATATATTTTTTTTTAATTAGGGCTGGGCTGGGCCGAATCCTGCCCGGGCGGAGCAGCCGCTCGGGAGTCGGGATCGGCATCTGGCCGTGGAGCAGCTCCTGCTTTGCCGCTGTCAGCCGTTTCGGGGGGCCGGGAGAGGCCAGAGCCGGGGAGGTTTAACGGGTTGTGGCGTTACAGCAGAAAAGCCGTTTAATACCTGGGTCCCCCATGGCCGGCTGTGCTCAGCATCCCACTCCAGGAGGCAGGGGAGCAAAAACTGAGGGGATAAAAAAAAAATCCGAGCGATGCAAAGCAGAGGGCACTGGGGTCCCCGTCCGCAGCCCACACTGCCCCTCCCACCAGCGCTGTGTCTGGCCACCCGTGTCACGAATCGCTCCGGCCTCAGCGGGGCTGTGGGAGCACGTGGCCATGCGGGGCAGAGCCCCAGGGACCAGGGGTCTGTGGAGTGAGGTCCTTTGGGGGGGGACGGGGTGGGGGGTGAGGATGCTTTTCTGCCCAGGGTGGGCTTTGGCTGGGGTGGTGATGCAGAGAGCGGTCCCCGTGCAAGGTCACGGGAAAGTGGCACGATGCGGGGAGAGCGGGCGATACCGGGGCGAGGGACTGGCTCTCCTGCCTTTAAGTAATATTAATAAAGTGAATCCGTTCCCAGCAGGCTGGCCACTTAGGCAGGGCGAGATAGCGGCGGGGGGGGAGGCGCAGCCCCCCCCTTTCCCGTCTCACGCTCCTGAAGTTCAGGCGTTTGCCACGTGGATAAATGGCCTGAGCCCCGGCGGGCGTGAGCGCGGTGGCTCGGCCACGCCATCGGACCCACTGCTGCCGGCGGTGGCCACGTCCAGCCGAAACCAGCCGAGCGTCCTACCCGGCAGCGTGAACGATGCAGGCAGCAAAGGCGGGAGCAGAGCCCGGTGCTCCCCGGGTGCGTTGCCTCCCCCGAGTCAGGCAGCTCTGGGTTCTTGCCTGCAAACTACAGCCACCGAACAGCAGCAATAACCCACTGTCCCCGAGGAGGACGCCAGCACTCGGCGGGGGAAACGCTGGCTCTAAGGGTTTGGTGTTTCGGAGGTGCCGAGGGCGGCTCCCCTCCTTCCTCCTCGCTCGCCAGTGCCCATGCGAGTACTGGGAGAAGCTGGTGATGTTGGCGGTGTCCCTGCTGCCGGGGTACCTGTGCGATGGCACCGTGTGCCATTTATCCAGCAGAGCGGGCACCGACGTGCTCCATTGGCACGGCACGAGCTCGTGGCCCGAGATGCTGGTGCAGGCAGAACCAGGTGCTCTGCAGAGGAACAGCGGCTGCCTCTCCAAAGGGGCTTTTCCGCAACTCAGGGGAGATGCGCAGAGAAAAGGGAGAGAACTCCATCTTAATTGCATTTCATTACAGCACGCTTTACTTGCCCAGCACCCCCCCGCCCCCTCCTGTGCTGGCTTCACCCCCCTGGGGACCCTCTCGCAGCCCAGCTCCGGGATCCCCCTCTGAAGTCGGAGAGATAAAAAGGAGCCGAGTCCCACTGCCCAGCCCCACTGCTCCCCTGGGCATCAGCTGGGTTTCCAGCGTGCGACGGACTGGGGCACAGGGCAGGGTGTGGAGCAGGGTTTTGGGGTGGTAGGCTGTGCCCCGCAGCCTGGGACCCCTCGTCCCAGCAGTGGGCAACCCCCCTGTGCGGGGCAGGACATGCCCGGCTCCCTGGGGGACCCTCTGGCTGCAGGATGGGCCCCAGCAGGCAGCCAGGGAGCCCTGGCCATGGACCCCGGTGCCTCATCCTGCACGGTCCCCGAGCAGGGGGAGCTGAGGGTGATGCCCCAATGCTACACCTCCCCCCCCGCCTTGCCCTTCTCCACCTGCAAAGGGGATTTGCCCTGGTTAGCTGCACAGGGCAGCGTGCGAGGTGCTGCGTCGTGTCCCCCTGATGTCCCCTGCACCTGCCTTCATGGAGAGTCACGACCGGTGACCCAGCAGTGCAAATACCAGCCCGACACATCCAGGGGCTGATAGTGGTGCAGGCAGGACCACCGCCCCATGGGTGCTGCAAGGAGGGAGGGTGCAATGGGTGGGCAGCCCCAAAGCTCCCGAGCTGAGACCCCAGAGGGTGCCGGTGGCCACGGGACGCAGACTGGGCAGGCGGGTGGCACTGAGGGGTGGCATTGGCAGTGGCACCGTCAGGGTGAGGGCAGAGCAGCTGCGGTGCCTGCCTGGCTCCCCACCACCCCGCACAGCTCCAGCCGAATTTGGTGTCATCCTGCAGAGGAAGATTATGGTAATTTTTCTTCCCCCTTATGCATAATTTTCCGACTCGGCTGCAGCAGAGGCTGTGCGGAGAGGCTGGGTGATGGGAATGTCATCTGCGATTCGATTATCTCCTCCTGCCTTCCTTCTTTTTTTTCCTTGTGAAACCTTCATCAAAATATGTAGATCTAATTAGGACAATTACAGCGCGAGGACAGCAGAAACCCACCCAAAGCCGCACCGCGACCAGCTGCCTTGGCTGAGCTGCCGGCGAGAGGGGGGGGACTGGGACTTTTCTGGGGTTTGGGGTTTTTTTTTGGCTCTTCAGGGGGGATGGATGGGGTCGGTGGGTCTCAGCCCCACACGCTGGCCCAGGGCTCCTTCATGGTGCTGCTCATGCCGGGGTGGCGCTGGCTTTGGGGTGCACTGCCCCAAGGGGATGGAAGCGGCCTCAGATGTGTCTCCGTGGGCATGCCACCGGCCACGGACATGGCAGAGCACCGCTGGTGGGGTCCTGCCGTGGGACCCAGAGGCTGCATCTGCTGGTAACAGGTTTGTGTCCCACCTCGCTGGCTGTCACGAGCTGGAGGGGTCTCAGCACTTTGCTGGGGGCACCTGCCACCCCTGCTCCCAGCACACCTTGTCCCCTGTCCCTGGGGGTGCCCGCCGTGCCGCTCCACGAGGAGGGGCCACCCGCAAGCCTGCAGCTCCATGAGCCTCATTGGTATTCAGTCCCCGCATGGTGGCAGCTGGCTGGATGGGAGCGGAGTGACAGTGGTGACAGGTAACGCCAGCCACGGGGACGGCGGCAGCCGGCAGGTCGGCAGCGAGGGCACAGCTCCGCCTGTGTCCCCACGCTGGGACACGCTCTGGGAGGATGGGGAGAGCTGCCGGGGGCTGGATGCTCCTGGCCCCTGAGCTCTGCAGTGGGATGCACTGATGCTCACCCCGGGATGCTGGGGATGCTCCGACCGGGGAGTCGGGGTGCAGCTGCAGCGCTCCTCCAGCACCGCACGATCCCCCCAGCTGACCCCGTGCCCACCTCCAGCCACCCACGCCGGCCAAGCAACAACAAGCATTGCACGGGGAAAAAAAAAGTCAAACAGGGACGTGCTGGGACCCTGCACCCGTCCCCAGGGGTGGTGGGCGAGGGGTGGCGGCCAGGCAGAGCCGGCTGCACGGGCAATTAAGGGAAGCGCAAATTGTCAGACCCTCTGATTAACACTACCTCCAAATCCGCATGAATATTAAAAGCCGACATTGCCCAGGCTCCCTGCACAATGAATTCTGTATGAATCTTAAGATAAATCGTTTGGATAACTTAGCGGCAGCTGTACTCCCTCGCCACCAACTGCCTCCAAAAATCATTTCACGTCAGGCGAGAGAAGCCAGAACAGAGACCAGCCCAGTGCCGGGAATTGCCTTTCGGGGCTCGGCAGTGCCGGGATCAAGGCAGGGGAGCACAGGGCACCCGGGGCTCCCTGGAGGCGAAGGCAAAGGCGAGGGCTCCTCGGCTGTTGCTTGCTCCCAGGAACTGGTGACAAATCCTGTTACTTGCCACGGTTGCTGTCATCTTTGGCCGGGGGGCAGTTACATGCGGCTCCTGGCGTCCCTCGAAGCTCTCCTGACACCACGTCCCCGTTAGCAGAAGCGCATCCCGCTCCTCCAGCCCTGCCATAAGCAGCCCCGGGCACCGGCGCAGAGATCCATCTTCCCAGGAGGGGACCTGACGTGCCTCCGAGCGCTGCTGGGACCGGCTCCCATTGGCATGCAGCTGCCGCGCCTGCTGCGTGCTCCTGGTCA